GTCTCCTCGCTCTCTGCCGCTCGCCTGCCATCCTTCCTGCCTGCCTACCAATCTTCCCCTCCGGATCTACAGCATTACCTGCCTTCCTGTCTGCCACATGCCCGTTCACGTATCTCTGTTTGGATCCTCAGCCTTGTCTCTGTTGCCGATTGACTTCACCATCCAGCCCCAGTCTCTCTAAGGATTTTAACCTGCCCAGTAAGATAAAATCTCCTAAAGCCATTCCTATTTGATTCTCTGGTTCCAGGGTTTGTTTACTGTGAGTTTAATCCCGTTTGTTTTCTCATCCTAGATCGCGGCTTTCCCTGTTCTCGTTTGGAGCAGCGCTTTTGGTTTCATCACGTTTTTTAATAAATATTAATTGTTATTTACTCACCCCCGTGTCCTCTTGTGATTCTTTCATGTCCTGGGTTAAATATATACCCCAACATGACAACAGTTCATTGGTTCACTCTATCCATTGCTTTACACATTTGTCCTGTACCAGAATGTTTTACCTTTTTGTAATTTGAATTGCTTTTATTTTTGATTTATTCAATATATTTACCTTCTGCTGTACCATGTTCAGCGCCTTGGGCTTCCTGACAGAGTTGCGGAAGGTGCTTTATAAATACAGCTTTGATTTATTTATTTATCAAACCAGGAAAGTCCCGGAAAAGGGTGGCTTGCCACCTCCGGGTCGGGGGAGAGGTCCTACCTCAAGTGGAGGAGTTTAAGTATCTCAGGGTCTTGTTCACGAGTGAGGGTAGGAGGGATCGGGAGATCGACAGGCGGATTGTTTCGGCGTCTGCAGTGATGCGGACGCTGAGCCGATCTGTCGTGGGGAAGAGGGAGCTGAGCCAGAAAGCCAGGCTCTCGATTTACCGGTCGATCTACGTCCCAATCCTCACCTATGGTCATGAGCTTTGGGTAATGACCGAAAGAACGAGATCGCGGATACAAGCGGCCGAAATGAGTTTCCTCCGTAGGGTGGCCGGGCTCAGCCTTAGAGATAGGGTGAGGAGCTCTGACATTCGGGAGGGACTCGGAGTAGAACCGCTGCTCCTCCGGATCGAAAGGAGCCAGTTGAGGTGGTTTGGGCATCTGGTCAGGATGCCTCCTGGACACCTCCCCGGGGAGGTGTTTCGGGCATGTCCTGCCGGCAGAAGGCCCCCGGGTCGACCCAGGACACGTTGGAGAGGTTACATCTCCAATCTGGTCCGGGAACGCCTTGGGGTCCTGCCGGAGGAGCTGGTGGACAAGGCCGGGGAGAGGACGGCCTGGAGCTCCCTAATTGGGATGCTGCCCCAGCGACCCGGACCCGGATAAGCGGAGGAAGACGAAGGAAAGTCCCATTGAGATTTTAAAAACTAATTTTCAAGAAAATCCTGGCCAAGAGGCAGCAAAAGTCACAGTTACAAATTACTCAGTTAAACAGTTTTCTTAGAGTTTGAAAACATTAATCTTGTCTGCATTAAGGACCAATTTTAACTGCAGAAGTCTTTGTTGGACCTCATTTAATTCTGTAAGGATTAAACAGGGGATGTTCCAAAACAGTGAATGATTGTGTCATCAGCTTCAACAGTTCACTTGTCAAAAACAAAATCTATGCTATTATTTTAGGTGAACGAAAATGCAAAGACTCTATTTGTATACTAAATCAGTTTTACAGGAGTTCAAGTCTAAATACATCAAGGGGAGAAGTTTAAATGTGTTCTCAAAATGTCATTTTGAATTTTTGATTTATTGATTCTTCAGTAGTTATGCTACCAAAAAAAGATCCATAGAATTAATTTTAAAAGTGTTGTCACGACTCTTTATGGTGAAAATTATTCCAGCCTCCTCCAATGAGTCCAGATGATCCCGGACTAGCCCCCATTATGTTACGGCCTGGTTTGTTGGACTGCAATATAAAGAGGAGGTCTGGACAAATAGTCTGTGTTAATCAATCAATCAATCAATTTTATTTGTAGAGCACCTTCCACAACTTTATCAGAAGCCCAAGGTGCTGAACAGCATCATCAACATTCCCAGTACTTGGGCATAAAAGCAAGATAAAAACATAAAATCATAAAATAACAAGCAAACAATATTACAAATACAGAGAGATAACGGAATAAGACTAATCAATTATAAACAAATGGTGGACAAAAAAGATCAAGCATCCTGGTCAAAAAGAAGAATTAAAACCATAATGTCAGGGCAATTCAAAGAACACTAGCGCTGAAAAGCAATCAAATAAAAATGAGTCTTTAGATGAGACTTAAAGACTGGAAGGGATGGTGCCTGCCTAATGCTCAATGGCAATTCATTCCACAGAGTTGGAGCCAAAACAGAAAATGCACGATAACCCCTCGATCGATATTTCGACTGGGGGACCACCAGAAGTTCCTGCTCGGCTGAGCGAAGAGACCGAGATGGAGCATACCTGTGCAAAAGTGCAGTAATGTAAGAGGGGGCACTGCCCTGGAGGGCTTTGTAAACGAGAGTTAGGATTTTAAATTTAGCTCGGAATTGCACTGGGAGCCAGTGCAGAGTATAATTAAAGAGTGTAATTACTCAAAATGCCTCACCAAAAGGGTGAGGCAAGCAAGAGCTCCGAAAGGTGCCCCCTCAGACTGATCTGAGGGAAACAGGATACAGGAAAACTAGCCTGGCCTGCCAGACTGGTGCTCTGTTTAATTCTGCACAGAGAACCAGTGCTTCCCATAAGGAAGCATGGGGCTGGCTGGTCAGGCTACAAAATAACTACTTAAGGCACTTTACTAATTCAACAAATAAAACAGCTTGTTACATTACAAGTTTGTGAGAAATATTAAATATATGTATGTTTATTTCTATTGTCAACTTATGAACAACTAATTAACAACAAATAAAATGCTGTAGTACCTATGTGATCAATGTTTGATTACTGAAGTGTCTTACCTGAAGTTCATTGTTGAGAGAGAAAAACAATCCTTCTGTTACAAAAAATAAAAAATAAAAATCTGAATTTCAGTTCTGGCTTTTCAATTAAAGCATGTTATCCTTTTGTAAAGTACTATAAACAAGTCCAGGGGAAAAATAATGCTCACTGCCCTCTTAAAAATATCTAAAAGAGACATAATGTGACAAAAACAGACCAAAAAATGTAAAAATACATGTGATACACTTAAAGTACTCTCACGTTTCACCTCTTTCTCTCAGAGTTGAACAATGTCTACAGAAACTCAGAGTGAAGGCAGGTTCTGGGAGCAAAGTTGCTGTGATAAAAATGTGACTGTGTACATTTCCTGCATCCACATACCAAACCTTCAGAAAACCTACATTTCAGGTTTTACATGCAGAGCAGTGACGCATACTCTTTTGTTAGCTGCCTCCTTCAACACTCCTCTGCTCATAGAAAGAGCTGACAGCAGCTCTGTGGAGCTGATGCACAGTTCAGCCAATCACATCACATCATGTCATCACCTGTCAGGCATCAGTTTCAGGTAGCTGATGTACGCACATTGTGTCCAAGTATGGAAATAATTAAGCTATAAGTCACTTAAAATGAAAAGTTAAATACCAGAAACATCCCCATAAGAAAGAGCGCTGTCTTTCTGTTTTTTAGAATGTGTCAGCATGTTGTACAAATGGTGTCCCATCATTACAGCATCAGTATATACTGGAAGCATCAGATGTAACCTTACTCCGCTAACTCTGTTGCTGATCCATTTCCATGGTTACATGCCATCTTGTTTCTAAAGTGCCATTTCACAACAAAATCATCTCAGTGTGCTATAAAAAGACAACAAATCAGGTCAAGTTGAATCTGGATCTATTCTTTCATGCTAGTGACACGGTCAGCAACAACAGTGTTTAAACTAGGCTCAGGTGTTCCAAAGTGGGACCAGACCCATCAGGTTGTTTGTCACTGGTGAATTTAATATCCTAGAATGATCACAACTGTTATTTCATTAAAATGCTTTACTTCGATCAGAATTTGATCTCCTTATCTTACTATTTTGTCACATGAATATTGTGGTTTGTAACTACAAGATTGTTACCTATTGCCTCAGAATCTAGTAATGACCACTAGACGGATTTTTAAATTTCTTTAAATTTTTTTAATTATATTTTTGTTTTTGTGAGGCACCTCGTGATTTTTAATCTTGAGAGGCACTATATAAAATATAATTTTTTTCTTCTTTTTTCTAGATGTGTAATTCTACCTTAATTATATTTGTATGTGATGTTTATTTGACGTGGACACAGCAATTACATTGGACGAACCAGATGCATTGTTTAGTGTGTTAGCACATGTGCTAATTTGCAACACTTGTCCTTGGACCCTTCTAAAAAGTAGAGTACATTTAAATAAAACACAAAGAGATCAACAATAAATTAAACAGAAAACAGATTAAAATTGCAAACATTTTTCAACAAAAAAGAATAAAAAGAATAAAACAAGGCAATTTGAGCAGCAATGTAAGAGTTTAAAACTATTCATGTAGACATTGTTGTTTAGACTTTAACCATTTTTTGAGTTCTTTGTTAAAAACTTTACTGTCCGTTTCTAGTTTTAGGTCTGCAGGTAGAGAGTTCCAAAGTTTACAGAAAGAGCAGACTGACCAAAAGAAGTCTTGCACCGCGGGACGAGACAATCACCACAAGATGGAGGAAGGCTCGAGTGGTCTGATGGCCACAGTAGAGAACAGTTTAGACAAGTTTTTCGCAGCACTTATGTTGAAAACATAAGTTTTCAGGTGGATCTGAGTAGGAGTTGCACTACATGTTAGAAAGTCTGGGAGCAAGTTAAACTTTTAGATTTTTAAAGGATTATAAGGACAAGTAATTTCTAGGCTACTCGTAGGCTACAGATGTGATTGAAATCAGAACGCATTTGTAATACGTTTTTAAAGAACATAATGAGTTTACACAGGTATCTAAATAATTTTACTGTAATATTGTAATTAGAAATAACATTAATTTAGGAGAAGACGGGTAAAATTACTTTCTGTCAGGATTGCGTTATGTTCGTCCAGGCCGCTAGGGGGCAGAGTCGTAAACCCCCAGATGCAGTATTTAGCGAGCATGCGCACGACAATCTTCCTTTTTCCAGTGCAGCGGAGTCAAGCTTCAGTCTTTGGCTCCGGGCTCCTTCTTAAGGAGACTAAAAGACTGCAAAATGGTTTGTAATTTACCATCATATGTGTCTACATGCATTCCCAATACATAAATGTAACACCGCGATCTGTCCGATGGTTGAAAACGTGTTTCAGGTGTTCAGATGAGAATGGATTCATTCCTGCTAATGTGATTCTGGAGCCGATCAAACGTGGCCTACCCGCTACTAGCTCTGACTTATTGCTTCCTGTAGCCGCAAACTGTTTTGCTGTTGCTGATTTGTGAGTGGTTGGGTTAATTTGTTAGTGGTAGCCCCTTGTATGTCTGATCTGAACTTTTATTACTTTAGCAGAAGTGTTACCGTCTCCGGTTAGCATCCATTGCAGGCTAATGCCAGCCTCATTTGGCGTTACTTACGACAGTGACAGTTCATTTTCAATGAGCCCCTTTTACTGTTAACGGTAGCGTTACACTCTGTTATTTGCAACATGGTGACTCGGTGTCCTCCCCCTCATTCAGGGTTTTGTTAAAGTGGTGAAGAACAAGGCCTACTTCAAGAGGTACCAGGTCAAATTCAGGAGGAGGAGAGGTACGGCACTCCTGTCACAATTACAGATAAACTCTCATGTTTCAGTCATGAGTGTCATTTGATTAGTAACTGATCTTTATGTTTGATCCAGAGGGAAAGACTGACTTCTTTGCTCGTAAACGCCTGGTCGTACAAGACAAGAACAAGTACAACACACCCAAGTACCGTATGATTGTCCGCTTCTCCAACAGGGACATCATCTGCCAGGTGAGCCTCGTGTTGACGTTTCTCTAAGGGTTCTAGAACAGACTATCTCTGCACCCCACCATGTGACACGAGTGACCTGTAGATGTGCTGAAACACTAGATTTTGTTTTAAGATGTCTAAATATTCTTGCAGTTGGAGTGTGGTCAGTTTTCATATATGTGCTTTTTTCAGATTGCCTATGCAAAGATTGAGGGTGACATGATTGTGTGTGCCGCCTACTCACACGAGCTGCCCAAGTACGGAGTAACCGTGGGTCTGACGAACTACGCAGCAGCCTACTGCACTGGTCTGCTGTTGGCCCGCAGAGTCAGTATTTACCTGAGCTTTTAACTTGGCCAAAACTGAATTGCTAAAATGAATTTATCACATAGCGTACTTAAAATGTTGGTTTTCCTTCCGCAGCTCCTGAACAAGTTCAGTCTGGATAAGGTGTACGAGGGCCAGGTTGAGGTGACGGGAGATGAATTCAACGTGGAGAGCATCGATGGTCAGCCAGGTGCTTTCACCTGCTACCTGGATGCGGGGCTAGCTAGAACCACCACAGGCAACAAGGTGTTTGGTGCTCTGAAGGGGGCAGTGGATGGAGGCCTCTCCATCCCTCACAGGTAACCTGTCACACGCTATGGTCAGTTATTATGACGAATGAGTTAATGAGTGCATACAATTTAAGATGTGATTTTTAGTTTTGCAGCTTCAGTCTTTTGTTCATTTACACATTTTTATTTGGCTGTGAGAAAGTAACATCACATTTTCTTATGTAGCCTCTGAGTATATGTAACACTATCTGAAGTAGGGTCGTCACGGTGTGAAAATGTAACCTCTCGGTTATTGTGACCAAAATTATCACGGTTTTCGGTATTATCGCGGTATTTTTTTTAAACGTGTTACATTTTCACTACATAAACCCTGTATATCAGGAAAATATTGTCCTCAGTTTGTGTCTAAATTTTGCCTAAAATGTGTTATTTTGTAATTATGTTGTTTATTTGTTTACATTTTTCTCTTTAGTCTTTAAAATACCAATATTTGCCCATAACTTCTTATTTTTTGTCTGTTTGATGTCATCATTTAAAAATATTAGTTCAGATGATACTCAGTACTCAAGTAGCCTTCTAATCAGATACTTTTTTACCCTTACTTGAGTAATAAACCCTATATCAGGAAAATATCGTCCTCGGTTTGTGTCCTTCCAGTGAGCTTTGCAGATTTGGGAAAATGTCATCAGGCAGTAATCATTGTTAAATTCATAATTATTCTCGGAGAGAGACCAACTCTTATCTGCCCCTGGGAGCCCCGTAATGCATAGCGTCATTTCAACATGGGGGTGTCCGCGACACGGTTTATATGCAGGTAGCGGCGCTGCGGCTGCTTTATATAGCGACTCGTTGCATTCTCCCTCAACCCAAATCCTCAGATCACACATTTTAGCTAAAACGCTAACGTTAGCTTGCCTTGCGTTGACTGTAGAGTTGTGGGTGATGGTCACGCAGATGTGTCATGAGATTTGAAGCGTTGCTGCCTTTCACAGACACTTTTTCTGCACGTGCTGCAAACAGGATAGCCGTCTTCTATCAACTGTCCCTCGGCATTCTTCAGATATCCAAAAGATGCCCGTACTTCCCACTTTGTCTTCTTTGAGGGATAACAAATGTCCTGAGCGCTGCCGTCTCCTCCTTTGGCCATTATTTCAGCTTTAGCTTCCAAGAAAGTTTTGGTTGTAAACAACAAAGTGCGCATGTGCCGCCGGCAACTTCAGCAGATGATACGGTGGCTGGTAAGGGTCACCGCGCCTACACCGCAGCCACGGTAACCCACCGAGATAATATAGTTTTTTTAAAAACAAGACAGTTATTATCTGGTCGGAGGGACCGGTGGCGCCAGTGCTCGGCAGCCTCACCTCTGTCAGTGTGCCCCAGGGCAGCTGTGGCTACATTGTAGCTCATCCCCACCAGTGTGTGAATGGGTGAATGACTGATTGTGTTGTAAAGCGCCTTGGGGGGTCCCAGGACTCTAGAAGGCACTATATCAAATACAGGCCATTTACCATTATTATTGTCAACCTTTTTACCGGGGTTTACCGCTACACCGGTTACCGTGACAACCCTAATCTGAAGCAGCTGCATTTTATCAGTTCATACATTTTGGCATTTTGAAAATGCTACACAGCTGTGGCCCGCTGGGAAGAGTGGTCACCTGCCAGCCAGGCGTTAGTGGTTCAGTCCTCATGTAGCCCAACCCTCGTGCTAGTGTTGCTAACCTTATTTGAGCTTCACCAGGAACATATTCTTGTTTTCTTCTCTACTGAATCATTCACATGTTCTTGCTGCTTACATGTTGCATTTGTTGGGAGCATGTGGCATAACGTTGTCCATTACCTATTCTCTGTAGCTGATGTGATGGACTGGCCTCTGCTGCCCTTGATGTTTGACAGGCATGTCGTTGAACTGACGTGACTTTTATGACGGTCTGTTTAAAAGCAATAACTGCAGCCGAGGCTTGTGGGTATTTTATTTTTTTATCTGGATGAACTTCAAACGAACAGCTTGATGCTTATTAGAATCTGAGGTAAACATTTGGTTTAATGATGACTGGTTCTAGGCTAAGAGGAACATTTACTCAGCTGTTTTATTTTTTATAAATGTACATTTTAGATCTCATCCAACCCCAGGTTTTATTTTATTCTTAGATTAACTTGTGTTCTGTTCTCTGACATGAAAGACTTCACCATCCTGGTGTGACTATATTATTCCCTGGTGCTTTTCGTGATGGAAAAAATGACTAAAACCAGGTAACTTAATGTGTCATCACCTTGTTTAGCACTTAAAAACTTTTGTTTTCTAATGCTCCTCATTCAATTATAAGGTGATGTAACCCACCCATCTTGATAATTATGACCAAGTGATTAAACTAATCGCTCTCACACAACAGGTTTAGTAATCGTTTACAATCTAGACATTATAAATTATACGTTTTCACAAATATGTGCTAAATGGGGGCAGTGAGGTTGTGTTCTAATCAGCAGAAATGTCAGCTCTGTCCCCTCAATGCAAAGATGGAGACTGGAGTGTGACTCTTTGCCATAAATCTCTAAACCAGAGAAATGGGGCTGGACTTAAAACTCGCCCTCCAAACACTCCAGATCAAACCCAGGATCTAAGGCCAGAGTGATGAAGAAGCTAAAGCTTGGTTTATGCTTGACACATTCACTTTCCGCGCGGTGATGCGGCTCGCGGATGGAACGCGCTTCACAACTCGCAGCGTTCATGGTTCATGCGGTGAGCCAATATTCTCCCAAACTGTAGGGGGCAGCATGGAGCTCTACGGCATGCATCCAACACTACACCATAGCAGAAGTAGAAATTACTGTTTACAACACGGCATTCCAGCATTTTAACAGCGTCCTCGTCTTTTCCGACAGTGCGAGCTATTTCTCCAAGAATTATTAACAACATGTTGATCACGGTGATCTCTGAGAGCTGAATCATACAAATGTCTGTATTTACGAACCTCTGCCGTACTAGTTCTTGCCGGTCCGCCATGTTTTTCCGCGTTCGTCCGTCCGCGTGGTTAGAAAATTTTCCGAGGTGCGCGTTGCGGAAATCTTGGGCCGTGCGGAGGCGCGGTGGAGGGGCGGGGTTGTTAAAATGACGCAACTTTTCCGCGCGGACCTCGCAGACGCGTCAAGCATAAACCAACCTTTAGTCACTTGTAGTCGGAAGTAAAGGTAAGTACTGACTTGTATGGAGTCCAGGTTGTGTAGATCCACCATTGGTTCAGTGGAGCAGCTATGGGTGGTTTTTGAGGCTTTTACAAAGTGGTGTCGCCTCCTCAAGCTTTGTTGGACGTGTGCTGATTTCACTACAGCATCATCGCTGCACTCAATCTACAGGCACTAATGTATTACTCAGATTTTTTGAGGGTGAGAATTTTACTTATTTATTTTGTGCACAATTGTTTACAAAATTTAAATGTGACCATCAGACTGCAAGGTGAACAGTCCATTTACGTGAGGCATGTGCAGAGGGAGACGGGTCATCACACCCAATGGGATCTTTACAATAGGGAGTGTGGATGCTACACATGCTGGTGTGTACAAATTCTGAGGTTGTTCAGTCTGAGCTGACGGTATTGACGAGAAGCTTGTTTCACCCTTTTACGTTTGATCTCACTGCGTCCAGTCTCCTCAGGCACATACCTGTAACACCTGTTAAACCCCACCAGTGCAACAGTCTGAAATGTGAGGGCTGGCGCAGCAGATCGAAACCCCACAGATCTGATCAGATCGCTGTTTTCAGTCATTATTTTTGGATTCGCAGGAACATAAGAAAAGAGAAATATAATGATAAAACGATTAACTCCTTGCATGTCCCGTTTATACTCATTCCCTCACCTTTCTGAAGTACTGTTTAGTTTTAAATATTTGCCACGAACAACATTTCAGGTCCCACCATGATGATGTAATAATCGTCCCAGGTCCCACCCCCTCGCTCCCCTTTCACAGCGATCGGGGGACGTGTGTGTGGCGCTGCGTCGTCAGACTGGAGGCACACGTGTGTGTTCATTTGTTTTGTTTTTATCATTGTATTTTACAGAGAAGCCAAAGTTCTCCCATACATGCAACTTAAACGATGCAGGTGGTTTATCCAGCTCCTCTCCTCCTCTGCCACGACCACCGATGTGCTTTTCTTGTTTAAGTTGAAAAGGTGGCGCCTCGCTCGGCCCTTCACGTGGCCAATCTATGGATCGTGCACGTGTTGAACTGCACAGAGATCTGTGCAGATCATGAATCGGTGATCTGTTGCCGTCCTAATTCAGACTGTTGGACACGAGTTTGCTTTTCAACCGCACAAGAAAGTGACCTGGGTCCAATTTTAGGGATATCCACTTGAATGGTTTTTGCTAGGTTATTGTGCCGCTCTAGGAAATGTAAAGCAATCATTTGAATTTATTTTCAGAACCGGGGCACTGCGTATTTCTTTTCAAAGCTAATGTCTTTAACTTTTTGTTTCCACGTTTTTCTTCAGTAGGGCAAATCCCACCGTTGCCCAGAGTCCCGAGTACAAAAAGAACCACATGGCACTAATGAAGCTTAATAAATCCTTTTTGCCCACTCTTCCAGCACCAAACGCTTCCCTGGGTATGATACTGAGAGCAAGGAGTTCAACGCCGAGGTGCATCGAAAACACATCATGGGCATCAATGTGTCTGAGTACATGAGCTACTTGATGGAGGAAGACGAGGACGCTTACAAAAAACAGTTCTCCCGCTTCATTAAGAATGGAGTGTCCCCAGATTCGGCAAGTTCCCTTTGTGCATTTTTACATTAGTTTGTAACCTTTACCTGTTCTATTATTTTAACGTCTGTGCTGGTGTTGCAAGAAGTAAGGATCTAAACATATATCATTTGTTAAAATGTCTGTTTTCTGTATGAAATTTTCTTTCCACTACTGTTAAATTTGGGTTTAATGAAGTTTAGGTCTTAAGAAGGTGTTTGAGTATTACCCCAAAATTCCACTATCTCCGTTCCCGTTTTCCGCTGCCGCTCGCTTCCGAACTCAAATTATGCCCGCTCTACAACGGCTCCGCTCCGGTGCGGAGACCTGAGGTGCGCAAACGGGCATGCGCAGGATTTTCGAGATCTTGCGATACAGTCCGAGCAATAAACGCGGAAGTTAGATCCAAACACCCGTTGTGTGGGAGAAGCATCGGCATGAACTGTTTAATCTGCCCATCATTTGTGTTGAGAGATCAGCAGTGTTTGGATCAACAAAGGGTGGTGACTACTTTGATAGTGGAAACTGTATTTATGGCTTATTTTTGTGCATTTAAAGTTCAACCGCCATTGATAGTTGTTAAAAGTTGTTAAACCTGTGCAAATGAAACAAAAAACGCTTTTTGTTGATTTATTTTGAAATAACGGAAGCTGTGCTTGCTCCCTTTCCTGTTGGGCGGTTGTGATTCCTGTCCATTGACTGCGGAGGTGCTCCGGCGTCCGGCAAAAATAGAATCGATCCTATTTTCGCCGGATGGCGGAACGGCGGGTGGCGCACTGCGCCGCACGGCCGCAGTAGCGGAACAGCTCTGATTGACTAAAACGGGACCGTTTTTGCTGCGGAGTTCGTGCCGGAGCGGAGATGGTGGAATTTTGGGGTTAGATGATTTTATCCACACCTCAAACAGAACAGTTTAAACATTTTACCTTATGGAGCCTTTGGAGTCAGACTTGAGGTTCTGTTGTGGACGGGAAGATTTAAAGCCCGCTTTTCTTTCAGATGGAGGAAATGTACAAAAAGGCTCACGCTGCAATTCGTTCTAACCCGGTTCACGAAAAGAAGCCCCCCAAAGAAGTCAAGAAGAAGAGGTGAGAAGACACTTTTTATTAGGGTTGGGTGTCGAGCATAGATTGGAACCAGGACTAATTGTTCCCGTTTTTCCAAGAACAATTCAGTTTTTTACATCTCGATTCTCCGTCCGCTGACAGGAAGATGCAGCCGAATACTAACGAAGCGCTGGAAGTGTTAATGTTGCCGTGCTTTCATGGAAAATGTGCAGAGGCGGTCTGAAGCGTGGCTTCGACCGCCCATCAAAATTAGCCGATCTCCATGGGAACAAAATGTCGTGTGTGGCTTTCCAAGTTTATAATCCCTGCTGATCAGCTCTCGCTCATACTTTGTAGGCTTTAGGGGCGGCGTCACGTCTCGCCCAGCGGCAAAGTTCAAAACATGTCTGCCGAACATGTTGTCCGTCTGAAGAAGCTCATTACTGGCAGCCGTTTTCCGATCAGAAAGCCCCTGACCGCCAGCGTTTTTGAGCATTTTTACTGTTTATTTGAAGAGCCATAGAACATTGTGCTCTATGATCATGTAAACACCAAAACTACCTCAAGAAAAGGGTAGACTCACTACTCACATCAGGAAGAATCGGCATGTTTCTAGCTGCCATTGTCAAAGTGTGAGCTGCATACGTTTTTCCAGCTAGCGCCTCGCTTCAGGCATAGCGGCATCCCAAAACTGATCTGTCTTCTTCCTGATCGTGTGACACACACGGATGTAAATTAACTTTAGTGCTTTGATGTTCACTCTCAAGCCCGCCCCGTTTAACGCAGTTGACGACTTTTGTCATGAATGGCAGTTTAAAAGAACAAACGCTGGGCACGCAAAGTTGTGCAATTCTTCTTTGCTCTTCTGCTCTATAGCGTTGAGAGCTTTTAACGATTTAAACTTGTTTGTTTCTTACAGCAGCCACATTTAAGTTACCATTGAATTGTTGCTGTAGAGTCTGTCATCCTGGACGTGAACTTTAGTTGAGCTGAAAACGGCCGGATCATCCAAAAAGCCCCTTCTCTTCTAAACCTTGGGTTGTGAGCAAGAAACCTAAAACTTGTGGTCAGAACAGGGTGTCCGCGGGTCCTTAAAAAGTCTTAGAAGTCTTAAATTAGCTTTTCCTAATTTAAGGCCTTAAAAGTCCTTAAAAAGGACAAATAATCCTTAAATCCAGTTTCCAAAGGTCTTAAATGACCAAAGACCCAATAAACAAGATTCTTTTATTTCTATAAAAAATTCGTGAATTTCTAGTTAGTGTTCAGCATTTTTTTGTGTACGATGTTGACGTAAGCGGAACCGTACGCAGTCAGTTGGTTGTGAAAGGGGGCTATTTTTAGATGAGCACATTAGCTGGTTAAGCTAGTGGGAGCTTGCGCCATGGGGAAGTGCAATTTTAATGGTAACTGGATGGCTAATCCCACGTTAGCGACGTGGTTAGCACCGGTTCCAGGCAATAGCTGGAAATTATTGCTAAATTTAATTTTTAAAATAGCTTAAATTTGGTCAAAGTGGCCTTAAAAAAGGTCTTAAAAAGTCTTAAATTTGGCTCCCTTAAACCTGCAGCTACCCTGCAGAAACAAACTCACCGATTGTGCTGCACATTTTTTTCCCCCTCTTAAAAGGTAAAAACATGCAGTGATTCTGTTCCTAGAGTTAAAATTCATGTTGACGTTCAGACTGTTTCACCAAGTAAGGCCTTGGGTTTGCTGGCTCTTTAAAACGTGTAAAGGTTTTGGGTTCTGCCTCTTGAAAAAGTCTTAATCGAGAATCGATACAATAACAAACTCACTGAGAAATTGGAGTCAGAACCAGAGTGTTTCTAAATCTCAGGTCGAAGTTGCTTCAATCGGAGAAAAATATGGATTCTGAGCTCCTTGCTGTAATTAAAGAGTTTGTCTTTTAACTCATTCACTGCCAGCCGTTTCCTGATCACTTTGCTGCCAGCGTTTCTCACGTTTTTACTGTTTTTTTAAGAGTCACAGAACGTTGCGCGGTAGCATGATGTCGATGCCAAAACAACCAAAACAAAGAGGAGACTCACCTCTTACATCAGGAAGAGTCCGTGTGTTTCGAGCGTTATCCGTTCTTTCATACGTTCTTTCAGCGCCTTGGGCTTCCTGACAGGGTTGCGGAAGGCGCTTTATAAATAAAGCTTTGATTTGATTTGATTCATAATCCGTTGAATTGTGATCGGCAGACGCTTTTCCGGTTCGCACCTCACTTTTTTTACTGGAACGGCCCAAAACGATCTCCTAATACATGGATGGTCTGCTTCCTGATCATGTGATCTGTGACGTATGTGGATGAAGATCGGCTTCGGGGCTGAGATGTTTGTTCTCTCAGCGCGGGGGCTCGTTCCGATGCTCAAACAGTAAAAAAACTGCAAATGACGACTTTAGTCGTCAGTGGCAGTGAATGAGTTAAAAACCTGCCACTGTATGTAAAAAAAACAACAAAAAACTATTAATTGTCCTTTTGTGATGAAGGTGGAACCGTGCCAAGCTGTCTCTGGCTCAGAGGAAAGACCGAGTCGCCCAGAAGAAGGCCAGCTTCCTCCGTGCTCAGGAACAGGAGGATGCAGAATAAGGCGTCTGTCTGCTTTGGTTCAAATGCAGAACTTTGTTCTAATAAATATGGGAAAAGAATGTGTGCTCTGGTGTTTTTGTGTTCACGTTGCACTCGGGGTTCAGCTCTGACAACAAATATAATCACCAGTTGAGTTAAAACTGCAAAAGAGCAGGTTGGTTTTAGATGTAGAGATGACTCCTTAATGCGCTATGATGTCCCACATTACCTGTGCCGGTTCCTTGGCCAAGCTTTATTTTATTCTGGTTATGAAAAAAACCGTCTTTTCCTGTAGTGATCAACCGTTTTACAACCTAAAGTACAACAGTCATACATGTAAAATGGAGTACAAGTGCTGTTTCAACAAGATTGGTTCAGGAGTCTTTAGTGTGTGAGATCTTCTTCCACAGCAGAGTTTTGAGGTTGTTCAGAATGAGCGAGTGCTCCATTTCCATTTGTTCTACCGAACCTTTCAGAGCGATGCAGGCGTACAGCTGCTTCTCCAGCTCCTCGCTCACGTCCGACGGTGCACCCTGCAGAATGTAGTCCTTCAGGGTGTCGCAGGCTTTAGCCAGGTTCGGCCTGGTGACCTCCGGTGTGCAGCGGTGCTTGGTGAGGTCACAGCTGGTGAGGCAGTCGGTCCCGTAGAGACAGTCCTCGTCTGCGTCACAGCGCTGCTGCCTGATTCTTTCTTGGAAAGTGGCCTCGGGAATGATGTAACGGGCGTCCATTACTTTAAAGTCGTGCCGGTCGTTGTATCCGAAAGTAGCGGTGCTGACGTCACACATGAGAAAGCTGCCAAAAGTGCCGTGAAAAATGTCCTCCACCAGCTCAAGCAGGCCGATGGAGATCTTGGCCTTGTGAGGCCAGGACGGGGTGAACCACTGGTCCATGCTGCGGCGCAGACCAGCAGGAATCCATACTTCGACAATCCAAGGAAGACTGATTCCATACAGAGGGGAGTTTGGCACCTTCTCCATCATGTACAGGTCTCCACAGAAGCCAAGTAACTTTGGTGTGTGCTCGCGGTCCTGCAGGACTAATGCCAGCAGGAACTCGTTGAGCTGCAGCAGGGCCCATGTGGAGCGGGCCTCTGGCAGTGAGATGTGGCCATCTTTATTAGCGTCAGCAACGGCTAATACATGTGTCGCCAGGTCAGCGAGGTTGGCCTGGTCCTCCACTTTAGCCTACAGAGAATTGAAAAAGTTCAGACAAACCATTTTACTCTGCCCTAGGATTTACCAAAACCTCTGACCTTTAAGTGGCCGACTATCATCTCTCTGAACTTCTCCACTGACGTTCCTTTGGTTGGCTTGTTGAAGGCAGAGGCTTCTTTTCTAGGCTCCATTTCACCTCCCAAGTCATAATGAGGGGCCTCTTCCATCTGGCACTTAACGACCCCCTGCAGGTCTCCCCAGTGCCCTGAGTAAACCTGCAATGAGCGCAGGAGTAGCTGGATTAGCACGCAACCCAACTGGAGGAGATGTCTTAACAGGAGGACCCACCTGACTGTTGGGTTTGGCGGTGAAGCACTTCCCAAGGTAAAGTGTTTCCTTCTCACACAGGCTGCTGCAGGCGGAACCATCGATGACTCCTTTTCTGTATTTATCACACTGATGAACAAAAATAAAAGTATTAAAGGGAATGACCAGATTAATGTCGATTAATCTCACGTGAACGTGGTACTGACTATGGAGTTTCTGCACTCGTGGCCTCTGCAGAGCTCTGTGTAGGAGGAGTATTCCACATAAACTACCCAGCTCCCCACGAACACGGCCAGCCAGGAGAAGAACAGGTACTTCATGTGCAGGTAGGAGAATCTGGCCTGTTGGAGACATGCAGACATTTAGTATTGGAGTCAAAGTCTGACTAGCTTAAATTAGGATTACAGATTCTGTTTGTGTTACAACTGCGTTAAAATAAACACACTATGCAATTGTAAAGTAAGGTTAACGTGAAAAAATACGAATGGAATAAAATGATTCAAAACATTTTTGACATTGTTTTTGGCCAAATCACTACACTTTGTTTTTAAAAACTGCACACGAGATAAAAACTAAAGGTCTATCATTCGTTGATGGAAGCTTAATCACATGTTGCCTTTTCATCTCCAACCATAGAAACTCTAGAAATAAAGATGTTTAGTCGTCATGAAAATTGTGTTAGGTGTGTAACTCATCTTCCCTTCGGATCTCTTCCTCTTTGTTGTGAATGGCTCTCAGTTGCCAACACGTGCTAAAATAAAAAGACGAATGGACATTTCTGACTTCCTGATTCACACCTAAAATTTGTGAGTTGTAGACTTATGGCCAAGGAAAACATCTTTTGAGTTTCATTCAAATCTGTCTTCTGGTTCACAAAATATTTAACCACCAAACAACACAGAGAGGCAAAAACATTATCGCCCTCTAGAATAAAAAAAAAACTGCAATATTATGACGTTTCCACGAGTTGTTTACATAATCTTAACCTAAAAGGGAGCGATCTGAGTTTTCAGTTCCTGAAACACAAAATCAGAAATAAATCATTGTGAATTTACGGTATTTTATTACTGCATGTTGGAGGCTTTGAGCTTGAAAACCTGTCTGAAACAACAAAGCTCCTACGAAACAAAACAGTCGATGTTGAGTGATGTTAAAATGAATAAATAAATATTACTAAAAAAGCTTTTATTTCTGAATATAATGTGATAGTTTTGTACAGCCTAATTAAGACCCAATGTGTAATTTACTCATTTTATCTAACGTCTAGTCTGTTAAGCTCGTTGTATAAAAGCACTTTACAAATTAAGTTATTATCAGCTGATTAAATGCATGCATGCATTCGGTAAAATACAGAATAACCGTTTTTTGGCCACTTGATGGCAGCAGACAACATTAACAGACCCTTTTCTGTTCACCAGTATTAGTGTGAAGGTTAAACTGATCTGGTTCTTGTCACGATTTGAAGGGATGTTAGAACCCAAAATGCAGAACCCAGGATGACACGAGGCAGGAGTGGATATGAAGAAAAGAAAATCCTTTTATTGTAGGATGAGTCCCAAAATAACAATAATCCAAAGGCAGGGAGCCAAAATCCAAAAACACGGGCAGACTGACAGAACAACACGCTGACAAACAACAACAATGGACTGACAAGAACAATGAGACAAGGAGAGGCTTTATACACTGGGGCTGGAGTGATAGGAGACGAGGAGCAGGTGTGTGGAGAACTGGCACAGGTG